CTGGCTTCCTTGTTGGCTTCCTCGTTGGCTTCCTCGTTGGCTTCCTTGCTAGCTTCCTCGCTGGCTGGCTGGCTGGCTTCCTTGTTAGCTTCCTCGCTGGCTGGCTAGCTGGCTGGCTGGCTGGCTTGCTAGCTGCTAACTGGCTATAAGGATAATATGTATCTAAAAAACATAACGGCCCACTTGCGTACGCATTAATTCATATCTAACCACACACTGGGTGTGAATTGGGATTTGGCGATAACTCACCTATAGGCTGCCGTAGAAGAACGGTCTGTCAGCGTGTAATAAGCGTCCAGTTTTGCCCTTCCAGCCTCAACACACAGCGCCATAAAAGCGTCGCTTCCATACTCAATTTTTGCAGCTTCAAATTTACTGAGCAAAAAGTCCATTATAGGCAAGGTCCGGTCAATGGTGTGCGCGTGACCCTCCGTAGCTTTGGTAGCATCCGCGAACGATTTGGGAAAGTTGCAAACCTTTTTCAACTCAGTCCAGTCTTGCTCGGAGAGTGAGTCAAGTTTCAGCTCTTTCTCCTCGAAGCAAAAGTAATCGATTTGATCCGCAGGTTCAATAGCTCTCGCGGTCATGTACTTGGAGTTCCACCTGGTGTCATTGTCGCGAAGAAGCTCCTTCTTCTCACTGTTCTCTTTGAACCTCTGTATACGCTGTGGACTGCACCGGATAAACACAACGATGCTGTGGAGCTTGCCAAGGGGGCCAGCCTTCCTCCATTTCAATATATCAGATTCGGAAGGCTTGATAATTCGCTCGTAGTGTCCTTTTTAACCTTGTTTTTCACTGGAGCTTCGACTGGAGCAGCTTCCCACGTGCAAAGATATTTAGGCGTTCCTTGCTATGTAGAGGCAAGAGCTTGTTGGCACGGGTAAAGATTGCGAGTATTACCCTAGAGAAAAAATAAGAAGTACATCTTATATGGTACGTCTCGTATGGTATAATAAGTACTTTCTAACAGCTCAAACGGCAAAGAGTCCCACTTATTTACTGATTACTGATTGATTGATTAGGCCTTTACTGATGCTGATGACATATCAGTATCAATCAGTAATCAGTACTGGTTGATAACTGACTGATTGTTGGGATGTCTGGTCTCGGGCGGCGGCGCCGCCCGAGACATGCCTCGCAAAACATGCGTCGCGATGTATTTACGTCGCTTTAAACGGCATGCTTGGACGAGACTGTTGTGCCTGACTCTTTGAAGAAATTGGTGGATATCAGCCACAAACTGGCTTCAATAGTGCCACTGAGTGTTCAGGGACATTGAATTCGCCATGGTTAGCCACTGGGCCTTCCATTCGATACAATATGCTTGAAGAAAGCAACGGCGCCGGCAATGTCAGCTTAGATGGGGTGTCTATGTCTCCAGCGTCCTCAAGCGTTGCAGGTGGTCTGGAGAACCACGTAGTCGATAACAAAATGATGGCGTGTGGAAGCTTTCAGCAATTACCGCTCGAATCAGTCACTATGTCGAGAGTTTCCCTAAATTTAGTCTATTAAAACTCGTCTATATTATGTGAGTTGCATTTAACGTTGTTTGCAGCCACACCCTCAATGGACGGCAAACATCTGACCATGTACAAGAAATCCACCTTCCGCTCTGGTGAGCCAAGGCACCTCTGCGTAGAGAGGTGATGCTACTTCGTGAAGATCACCAACTATATTTACACATGTTGAAGATTATGCCTGACAAGGTATCTCGTCTATAACCTCCTCTTGCCATTTTTGGACCTTTTACGTCTGCCATGGAACTAGGGCAAGGACCGCGGAGCGTGAGACGGTTTCATCCCACGGAGATGACCGAACCAAAGTTGATCAGTCAGCTTACTGTTACATGCGCATTAAGCTCGTACTCTCGCGGTTGAATTATAGTTTATAATACCCCCCCCCCCCAAAAAAAAAATCATGTTCAGCGCGGTTGGGCTGCGCCCGGTGTAAGTGGAAGAACTCGGCTCCGCGGGTGCCCGCAAAGAGGCGTCTGCAGATGACAGGAAACTAACCACATCGAGAATGCAGCGCAGGAACTGCTGAAAGCTTGGCAAGATGACAAGAATCTAGCTTCTCTGGGACTAGGAGACCGATTTTGAACCCTGCCTCACCTAGAGGCTAGGGCTCAGGTGAAAGCAAGCTAACAGGGTTACTCGGGTATAGGGTCCGGGTCTCTTGCTTCCAGTATTCTGTAGTTTTGTTTTCATCAACACCCTGCAGACTTCTCTGTGAAGCAATGTCAAATCAGTCGCTAAAATTTTGAGTCCATTATTGAATCTTATGGTGGCTAAATAGTAGAAAAGCTGATTCATCACCAGCGTCGTCGCCGACTCCGTTGCTGGCGAGGCAGCTGAACCGGGCGCTTTCTGCATTGTCGTGGCCAGCTCGGCTGTTTCCAGCAGCCACATTTACCTCGACGATGCCAACTACGCGGTGAGTAGCACAACTAGGAAACAACGACCCCATAGTCATGATGAGAATGAGATAGTCTCATTGACAATAGCCCTAGGCCGACCCCATTTGAAGCCGTATTGGAGCCTGTCCCCTTCTCGAGCGCCAATAATTCGTTGACACCACGACGTCCACCGACATCCTCAAGAGTTTCTGCCACTTAAGCGCAAAAACCTCGGAAATCTCGTACGCCGCTGGATCCCAAGATTCGCCCCAGACAACGAAGCCAACCTGGTGCTCGCTGTCGCTCCCCGACCCAGTGAACAAGTCGTTGCACAGCTCGTCTTCGTCATACGTGCCGGCGTTGAGAAGCATCGCGTTCCGAAGTGACGGAATCGGGCAGACGTCGATCCAAGGATGGTGAACTATCTGTTTCTGGACTGCCGTGGGCGCAAGACTTGGCGGCAGACAGCCGGATGCAGAAATGGCCGGACCGGAGGCGTTGAAGGGCGAAATTAGATCCTCGCATAAAAGTTCGAGTGTGAACCCGAAATATGCAGCATTCTTGGCCATGGCCTTGATTATGTTGAACTGCGTCACATTGGTCAAAAGTTGGGCATCGAAAGACGGTCGCGCGGGGTCACGCGTCACAGCATCTTGAAGGCGCTTGAGAAACTCCGACCGCTCTGGCCCGTTGGACTGGCAAAAAATCCATTTTTCGATGGATGGCGATGATGCCACCTTGTCGTGCTTCTCATTCTCGTCGAGCCCGGCCGAGTATATGATCCATTTACGCGCTGGGCCTTGAGCCTGTGCCAAGATGCCTAGCCGCTTCCCTGTATGCAATGGTCAGCGTCAGAGATGCTGTGCAAGAATCGTGGAAGATATAAGTTACTGACGCCGAGCCTGCTGGTTGAGTCGATTTTGTCGCCTCCTGCGCTCCTTTGCGCTGTCAAGCTCCACGTCTTCACTCATGAGTAACGTTTTTGGAATATGGATGATCTTGACTTTGTGCGCATAACTAGAAAAAAGTTCTCACGTCCAATGCAGTCAGCCCTTTTCAAGGCATGCCTTGTGTGTGTGTGTGTGTGTGTGTGTGGCGGTGCATATCTTGGCAGGTTCACCTCTACCCTGCTATTGGACAAGGGACTTAATCTAGGATTTCCGCCACCAGTTACAAGAGCAGCAGATTTCATTGAATTCATTCAATGAGTGATGCATGTCTACTTGAATCATATATAGTAGATTATCGATTTAGCGGCCCTTCCAATAGTACTGTCGTAGAGTCTGGATGGTTGCCACAGGGAGCAAGTACCAGCTCGTCACTCGCAGCTACTACCCGCCATGGCCTGCGGTGTCTTTCAGTTGCTCCGGGGACTCATGTCCACGCCAATACATCATTAGACATAGGTGATAGCGAAGTAGAAGGGCCTGTCACCCAAGGTTGCACACCACTCAACTCAATCCACTGCAAAGCCCAGTGGCGTTGAGTTGACCTAGTCAACCGCGAGCCTCAGTGGCGTTGATCAACTGTACCTCGAATTGAGTTGAGTGGATATAAATTGACGTTGATTTACGATATGTAGCCTCAGCGTTCATCCTCTGCCTCCTCCTCGCCCTCCGACTCCACTTCAGTCGCGTCACCGCATCGGTCGGGAGGAACAACAAGACATCAAGATCTTCAATCACCCCTTCGCGTAACCATGACCGCAACACTTGGCACATCCCTATCATATCAGCATCGAGCCGACTTCGAACAGGCGTTACCATCCGCCCTGCTGCCGAAAACAGCCTCTCGCATTCCGCCGACATGGCCTGGATCGTCAGAAAATCCAGCGCCATCCGCGAGAGCCGAGGATATCGCCATCGACGTTCATGCCAATACTCAAGTGGATCCCGGACATCACCGTCGCAGTCCTCCCACGATGACTGCCACAATTCGAGCTCGTCTACATCATCATCTACATCATCGTTTCCATCAAAGCAGCGAGAGCCAGTCAGTTCCTCCTCCGCCACACTAGTCCCAGATAGATCGCGTGCGCTCGCAGTACGCTTGAAATGGATTATAATACTTCCTCTGCCGCAGTCCCGCGTAGCCGCAGGCCTTTCGGCAACGCGACCTGGCACTATCCGTAGGCGGCGGTATTGCGTCTCCCAAACCTCTCGAACGGCTTGCTTTGCCTTAACCACCCAATCAGGATGATCTTTCCACTCATTTTCAAAATAACCCCATCGAAACGCCGGATGCAACGCCAAGGCGGTACAGCAAATCGGTGTCTCATCCAGCAGGCTGTAGTATTTATTGAGCTTTTCCCAGCCCAGATTGATGTTGATCCTCAAGTGCTCGGAATTAGGTATCCCGCACGCGAGCTGCTTGTATTTCTCGAGGACTTCTAGGAGAAACTCAAACCCCTGAATGACTTCCCATATATTTCCGTACGAGCCAACCCATCCTCGCTTTCGCCTACGCAGCTGGCTATCGCCCTCTAGAGTCCGCACAGCGTCCTCGTAGAATCCCAGCAGCTTGGCCAGATGCTCCAGCACTATCCAGTCGTTGCTCGTCAGCTGGTTCTCCTCCATGCAGATCCGTGGCTCTTTGGCTGACTTTCTGATGCCACCAGTTCTCTTTGACCTATTCTACTGTTCCCATTGCTGGCGATGCTTCAGATGAAAAATGTGAAACTTTCTTTCCCTTTGAACAATGTTTCCAGGCTACAACAGTCTCTGAACGCGCTGCAAAGCAGACTTATTGGTCCGGGCAGCGACTTCAATAATCGATTCTATCAATATCCCACGAAAAGGAAACGGATTATAAGCAATACCTCCAGACAACGAAGTCAAAGTGTACAGCCTGCTTCGCAGCTGGCACGCAGAATATTAAGAATATATTTTATTCAAGGACCATAGCCTCGTCGATGCATCAGTACTTAAAGCCCACCGCCTGACAAAGCCGCCCAAGGCACACGGGCCTGTGGCTCACACCAGGGGCAAAGGTGGCTTCTTGAGTCAAGCAGGTTTCTTGAGTCCCAACTTTTTCTGGAGTTCATCCAGTGTTGCTCTCTGGGCGGGCTCCTCCACGTGATTCGCATTATATTCTGCAGTGGACAGTCCTGCCGTGGCTCCCCTTTCTTTTATCGCATATATCTGGAGTGCGCTGACCATAGTTCCGGTCCGTCCATGCCCATAGCCACACCATACCAGTGTTCCCGAGCGATAAGCCTTGTATCTCTTCCATGCCTCCTCCAATTGAGCAAGTGTTGGTGACTTGAAGTCTTCGACTGGCAACGGGGTATATTCGATCTTGGCGTCGGCAAGGGGCTTCGAGATTTTGATATCTTTGGCCTCGTGGTTGAGACTGATGACGTGACGAATCTTGTACTTGGTGAGGAACGGAATGGACTGGGGTGTGAAATGCTGTGAACTGTCCTTATGGCCATCATAGTTTGGCGATGACGAGCGGAACAACTTGTCTGTCGAGGGCAGGTGCGCAATCACCCTATCAACCTCTTTGAAGCCTGCCTTCAATCCATCCTTCTTCATTTGGTCCATAGTGTGTAATGGCGGAACGTTGATAATAGCTTAATGTAGAGTTATTCGGCAACAAAACTGTTCAATCGCAGGCGTGTGAAGACTTGGGGAAACAGCCAGACTGAGTAGCAGTTAAGAATCTTTATATAAATATTGCCACCGGAGAGGACCACGCAAATCTCAATAGCCGGCCCTCTCCAACGTAAATCAGTGACCATCGCGGGAGTTGTGCCATAACGAGGTGGCATGACGGAAATCACACGAAAATTGGCTGCCATCAGTTCGTTCATAGCTGTACCATGATTTGTCTTGCCGATCAAAGCACAATTCGCTGAAAAGTTTCAGCGAAATGCCGGCTAATGAGGCCACAGTAGGGCGGGTTTTGTGTCTCATTCTCCGATTAATGAAATTATTGAACAGTCCGCTCTTGAAGTTATCAGTGGGGCTTACTGCTTTTTCAGCCAATGTTCCATGTAAATCCTACCACGGAGGGCCTCCAGTTTCGATCCGCAATTCGCTCATTCTGGGTTATGCCATCTCGCGGAGCTATTATGGGTGTATGCAAGGCCTCTCCCTTGCTTCCACTTTTTCTGTCGACTTCGTTCGGTCAGTCTTGACGCATTCCAGCTGTTCTGACTCTGATGCCACACAACCCGCTGCCAATACGAGTCTACCTAAGTGGCTATGCTAATGGGCCAGCAATATATAAAGCATGTAGCCACAGCCGAAATCCTCGTAGTGAGCCTGCAACTCTGTACTTCCAATACAACACTCCGGAAACAGACCTTCAGATACTCCAGAAAATCGCGATTCCAGCTCCACTGCCATCATGATGTTTATCAACGTCTCCCTGTACGACAAGATTACCGAGGCGGCCAAGGATCTCTCGTTAGCGAGTATCGAGAAAGAGTTTAAGTCACTCGGGCAACTTCGACAACTCTTGATAGATCACAAGTCTCTAAGCAGCAAGGAGTATGTCAATCACATCTGACAGAGAAGTCCCGCTGATATGCAAACAGGCAGCGGTATCCGTTTTGTAACCACAAAGGAGCTAAAGTCAATGATTCTATGACTTGGGAAGAATACAAGGGGGTTAGAGGCAGCAATGAAGGATCCACGGTACTGATCAACAGCCAAGTCATGGGAACATTGCGCTGATCTATCAAATAGGAGAAGGCGGAGCCGATTTTCTTGCTCAAACAAAGCACGGCAGGACATTTGGACGATTCAACAAAGGATTTTCTCAACAATAAACTCGACACCGCTTTGAAGGTATGAAACAACTGCTTGTCAGCAGCAGCACATGTTGACTCTTGCTGCTATCAGAGAGAGAAGCAAACCGACGCCGACAGAACCGAGATCAAAGAGCTTGTCAGTACATATGTGGCAGGAAACTATACTGCTATGAGTTCTGGAAAAGTTAGGTAGGTGAAGGAACTTGCAGACCGCGTGATCTAGCGAGCTGATTATAAGCAAGTTATCCAGCAGACATGACCGACAAAGAATGGGACGACGTTTTCCGCACCAACAGTATTCTCAGTGGAAGCCGCATTATCATGAAAGCTGTTGGTGGCGATGATAAACCAGTTTCCGTGCACATTAATCGCGTTCCGCGGGCGGGTTCGTAAAACCAATTGCCCTCCTCGAGACAGTCATTCTAACGTTCCACTACAGCTTTCGCTCTCAAAGAACGTAAAAGAGTGATCTACAAGGTTGACGAGGAAGGTGGCATTACCACTACTACGGTAAAGAAGATTCCGCAAAAGGCTATATGGCCAATACTTACTCCCTGATCCAGCGACCGTCGAAGATCCCCGACTTTATCGTCGCAGACGACTCCAACGTGAATGTGTTCGAAACTCAAAGTAGACTAGAGCAATCTCTGGCGCAGAGTGCCTTTAGCCAAACTGACGTCCAAGCCTCCGCGTATGATCCGCCACTCCCTACGCAAATGCAATATCCAAACTTTGGCCACGCTGACACAAACTAGAGGAGGGGGTGCAGCTGGATTCAGCGCCGCAGTTACTGCAAGCATGAGCAAGCAGGATCAGGAGGCATGGAAGACATCCGCAAAACAAACAGATCAGCACCTCAACATTTCCTACGATGTAAGAGCTCTCTGACTTCAATGTCTCCATGTAATCACACAGTCACCAATGGCTAATTGCTAATGTCACTTTCAGTTCCCGCGAGTTGTCTTATATCTCAACAAGGATAACTTAGAACTATCCGAGGACTGCAAAGATGGACTGAACAGGCTGAAGCCAGCAGCAAATGAGCAAGTCGACACACAAAAAGTTATCGAGTTTTTTGAAACATTCGGTGCGTATATTGCCCACGGGTAAATGTAAGTGGACGGGGCTAAAATGGGTTATCAGGACATTTTATCCCCACGCGGGTTGAGTTGGGAGGGCGGCTTTTTTCATCGGAGAAACTACAGTCAACGGACGCCGCCGAGGTGAGGAGCAAGTCAGAGGCCTTGAAGGTTGCAGCAGGAGTTTCTTTTTCGTCACCGTATGTGCAGGCTTCAATCAACGCCAGTCATGAGACGGGGAAGGACAACTCCAGCGGCTCTACAACCAGTAGTTTGACAAAGACAATCTGCTGGGAGGCTTCTGGAGGGGATACCCTTCTCTGCAACAAGTGAGTCCCAGAGCTCCTGGGGATTAGAATCTGTTGACACGTTTGCTCACATTTGGCAGCCCGCCTGCTTGGTGCGCCTCTGTGGGTTCCCACTACAATTGGCGGGTGATGAAGGTATGCCAGCATCAGGACTTTACGCTTTAGCTCTTGCATTGACGACTCTGATAGCAACACGATGTAATCCCGCTCGTGAAATTGATATACGATTTGATGGACGATGATTTGAAAAGCTCGCCTATTCACCAAGCTTTTGAGCAAATCCTCAACCCTGCCATTACTTACGAGACCCAGGAGCTCGAAGCAACTTCAGGTAGCAACGGCGAAGTCGATCATGCTTCCACGGAAGCAGGGACGCAAGGTAAAACGAACACTCTAGATGCTAGTGTAAGAAGGCTGACTTGTCCAAGAACAGTATGCTGCGATACCGATTGCCAGAGTAGCTTCGCTTGACACTCCTTTGCCTCCTATCCCAAGTCCGCAACCACCAAGTCGCGAGGTAGCCGTACAGGTCGCAGCTGCTCCACAGGGCATGACTGAATCAACAGCAAATGAACAAAATGCTGCGACACTGATTCCCAGGGTAACTTCGCTCGACCCTACTTCTTTGCCTCCGGTCCCAAGTCCACAACCACCAAGTGGTGAGGAAGCCGTAAAGGTCGCAGCCGCTCCACAGGGCATATTTGAATCAACAGCAAAATTTTATCTAAAGCTCAAGTCTACCTCTGGCCCCGAAAGCTATCTTTGGATTGATTGGGAACGGTACTGGCCGGAAGGTAACGGACCCCCACAAATCCTAGGTATTTGCTGAGCTGACATCAGACATCCAGACAGACCTCGTCCTCACGACGCCGTGCATGCATTGCAAGAGGTTGCAGATCAAATTCACGAGGAGAGAGAAAAGTATCCAGAAGATTATAGGAGAGCACGGAATGCTTGGGCCACAAAAATGGGCTATGATAACGGTGCATCATACATCGACAGATGGTTCCTCGACCATCTTGAGGGTGAGTATGCGAGGATGGGTATTGTTCCCAAACCCCCGCCACAATGCCGAATCATCTTAAATGGCGGTTCCTGCCATTCAAGACTCAAGTCTCAACACTTCCCACAGACATACATAAGGTAAGTTACAAAGACACTCGTGGCGGTTGGTTTGCCATGCTGACTAGGGAAGTTGCAATACAACGTTCCATATGAGCTATTTATGGATGGTAGGACCTCAGTGGGCGGGAACTACTATCAGCTTTGCGCAAGTGGAATTGCTCCAGGATTCCACCAGTCTACTTACCTCTACTGGGGCGACCCTGGTGTCAACAACGCCTATTTCTGGCCGTTTTCCACTCGTTTCGTATTCCGCAAGGCTGGAGACGTCAACGCAAAGGGAGCAGTGGGGAACAAAGACGAGGTACATCTCAATGTTATAACACAGGACGGAAAGATCAGTGTTGGCGATGTCGGGAAGATCCTATCGCACTCTGTGGGTGCTAAACTTGGAGGCTATGTTCCCCGCTGTTCTTTCATAGTGGAATATGAGTAATGGCATAAGTAGATTGCTTATATGCTTTGTCTCGCAATAATACGGTTTTTAGAGTGAGTTCTCTTGCGTTCCCCGTGCTTTGAAGAACAAAGTCTCAAGGGGATCTTCTAAGTGTGACAGACAAGTACACGGCCCAAAAGAACGCTGATAGAAGCCCACTCCCACGATGTCAAGAAGTGGTATGGCACGCTTTTTGGTTCTGTTCGTGCAGTCCAACAATAATACGTCCGCATTGAATTTAAAGTAAGCTACAGGTCGAGGTGGGCGAAAGGTGTGGCTATTAGGCAGTTCTCCGTGTCCAGCTTGACAAAGCGCTGGAACCCTTCGTTGTATAACTGGCCTACGTACGAGCCATGACGCAAAGAGACATCTATAATGCCTGGCTATTATTAGCCATCTAAACTAAATAGCGATGATTCCACCGCGGCATTCATCAAGCTGTTTAACGCGGTGAACATTCCCTATATCGCCAAGTGGGCGGAGAACGAATCAAGTCGTCTGGCTGGTCTTGTATGGAACTTTCCATATTGTCTTTAGATATGGAACTGGTTTCTCGAGGTCATAAGCCTCGAGAACACGTACAATACCAAACGATTCAAGGTTCACCTTTCAACCGCGCGGACTTGCCCCGGCTCAATCTTGAACGTAGCTATCGGCCTGAGCGGCAACAAAAGACGGGGGGCAGTAAGGGATAACAGAATAAGGTTAAGACTATAATATTATGCTAGCCAGGCAGAATCTGTCAGCAATAAGTATATAGAGTCCTAAATAGACTCAAATCAAAGGTCCGATCCTAGAGGAAGGTGTTTGTCAGATGCAGGGAGCAGCGAGACACGTAACCTGACAACCTAGCCCCTTAGCCACTTCCTCCTGCGTAACCGGCAGAACCGTGATCGCCCGCTCCATCGCCTTGCGTGTTACCACAGCAGCTATTGCCAGCGTGGCAGGTGAATCCGACACACCTCTTTACTCCATCGCTGCCATCCACACAGTGTAGGCTCTGATCGATGGGACATTCTCTTCGGCCATCAACAAGGTAGCAGTCCTAGAGATGTCACGTCAGATTACCACATCCAAGCCGATAGGGATCAAATTCGGGATAACTAACATTACTATTATTACACGTTGCGCAATTCCGTGATTAAGATGTCAGACATGGCGTCTTAGGTGCTGGATTGCCTGGGCCAGAGTATGTTCCCGCAGCAGCAAGCCCAACTAAGAACGCAATCATAAGGACAAGGTTCTTCATAATAAATATCAATATCGAGTCTTAGTAATATATAGCAGTCTTAATAGTATAGATAGTTTAGTAGACTATTAGTATAAACCATAGTTTATACTAATAGTATATATACTAATAGTCTAGTTTAGGTTTTCTTTAGTAGACTAGAGTCTAGTTTATCTTTACTAAACTAACTAATAGTTTAGTTTATTTAAACTAAATTAAGGTAAGTAGTTTAGATTTAATATATTAAACTATAATTATACTAATAGTATACTTTATAATTAGTTTAATTCCTATAAGGCTAATATAGAAACTTTTAAACTATATAATAACTAGGAGTTTTACAAAGTAGAATCTTTATAAGCTTTAAATTTATTTATTTAAATAAATAAATTCCCTTATATTCTTAATAATTAAGTATTTAAACTTTTTATATAGCTTATAAATAGCTATTTTAAAGTAGGTTTTAATAGATTTAGTACTCTAAGCTTACTAGATATTATACTATTAAGGTTATATAATATATATATAATAATAATATATAGTTAATATAACTAGTTATAAAAAAAGTAACTAAATTACTTTATAAAAAGTATTTTATTTTTATCTAAGTAATCTTTTACTTAGAAATTCCTTATTTCCTTATATTATATAATATTTTTAATATTTATAATAGTAAAGTTTACTAGTATTAATAGTAATTTATACTACTTAAATAATTATAACCTATAGGTAGTTACTTCCTTTTTTATAATATTAACTAATATAGTTCTAAATACTTTTTAATAAAAAACTTTACTTATTTAACTATATTATTAGCTAGTAAATAGTAAAACTATTTTTAAGATATAGGTAGATTTTAATAGCTTATATTAATAATATTACTAGCTTTATTTTAAAAAAAAAGAAAGCTAAATATTATAAATACTTAAATAGGTTATTTATTATTATAAATTACTTATATAAGAAGTATAATATTATAATTTATAGTAAGTATAAAGCTAGTAAGAAGATAATAAAATAAAGACTTAGAAATATTACCTTTTTTCTTCTTAAAAAAGCTTTCTATCCTAGTAAGAAATAAAAAGTAACCTTAAAGAAAGATAAGCTAAACCTAAATACCTTATATAAGCTTTTTTATTATTATATAATAGTATATAGTCTATTCTTTATTTATATTAAGTAGCTAGTATTTTATAACTTAATATATTATATATAACTAGCTATAAATAACCTTTTATTATAGTTACTTAGTATTACTAAAATAGACTTAAAATAAAGCTATAATTATAAATAGAAGCTTATTAAATAAGTATTATAAAACTTACTTTTATTAATCTATATTATATTAAATAATTAGATATTATTAAATAGTATAATAGTTAGGTTAGATTAGGTAGAAAAGTAGGAAAGGAAAAAGGTAGGTTATATTACTTATTAAGACTAAAGCTTATCCCTTTTTTCCTTTTAGGAAATATCCCCCTTATTTTATAATAACTAAAAGGAGGATAACCTATCCTTTTAATTAAAGTTTAAATACTATTTAAATACTAATTAAAACTTATATAAGATAGTTCTATTCTTATAAGTCTACTTAAGGTCTTAATTTAGGCTTAACTTATATATAGGTCTTACTAATCTTATAACTAATTAATAATAAGCAGCTCTAAAGCC